GTTTGTCTCTTAAGCCAGGCCTATATCAAGTTGTTATCACATTTTCCTTCAATGTTTTTCAAAGCTTTGGTTTTCCATCCATTTAATGTCATCCAGCTGTTTTTCCTTATATTCTGCCTTTGTTTCTGTTGTTTTTATAATGTTCTCCAACCTGCAGCAATTTTTCTATACTTTGGTTCACATAATCATTCAAACTTTGTTTTTCTTCTTCTACAGTTTGATGAATTTGTAATAGTCCTCTGCTCCCTATTCTTCTTGGCAGGTATAACCTGTCAATGTCACTTTGTTGATGTAAAGCGTGATACATATTCAAAAGTTTATGTGTTTTCCAGTCCAGGTTTTTCAGTTTAGCCACAGTCCAGTTGATGATTCCAGCTGGGTACCATATCACTGGAACTGCCCATGTATTAATAGCTTCAACTATTTTTCCATAACTTAGTTTTGATTTTAATATTTTGTGGACCCTCCTGATGTCTTTCTTTTGCATTGACTCTTTGACTTTTCCATTCAAGATATTATCTGCTTCCAATATGCCTAGGTATTTGTAACCATCATCCTTTGCTAATGTGTTCACGATGCTTCCATTTTCCAGTTCTATTCCATTTTTGTCCATTTTTCTTCGCTGCATGGATAGTATAGCACATTTTTCAAATCATTCTGAAGTCATTGCTGAACAGTTGAATTGTATTGAGTATTGATTCAAGTTCAGTGGGCTTTGCACATACAGTTTAAGTTATCCATGAATAGTAGATGGTTTATCTTGCCATGTTGGCTTGAGATTTGGTAGCCCATTTTTGTGTTTAGTAGGATGTCAGTGGAATTAATGTGATGTTGAACAGTAGTGGCAAAAGTGAGTCCCCTTGGAAGATTCCTCACCCGATGTTGAGTTCACCAATGTTCTCCCCATTTGCTGTTAGAACTGTTTTCTATTTTGGCATATTTGCTTTCAAAAATGTACAAATATTTTTGCTGATTCCAAAGTTTTCATACAGGCATCAAATGCCTTCTTGTAATCTATTCATGCCATATTTAAATTTGTTCTTTGTTTTGCATTTTTTTAGTACCATTTTGTCAATGAGCAGCTGATCTTTTGATGATGATGATTAGATTATTATTCTTATTATTCTTATTAATTTGTTCCAAGATATATTGGATAAGACTAACACAGTACCCTTGATCTAGTTCATGAAGTTATTGTATCTGGTTTGGACACTGAAGTTACCATGGATTAACTTTCCCAAAAATGACAGCTGGTGTTAATAATAACAGCAAAAACAAGGAAAGATATAAATGCAAATGCAACTGGAGTTGGCAGGCATTTGAATATACTGGAATAATCTTATGTTGGAGTACCATGTTTTGCAACTAACATTTATCTGTTTATTTGCTTGTTTATTGACATCAAGTTCATAGATTCTCCTAAGAGGGCAAATTTCTTCATTTTAATTTCTTGAGAGGACTGAGACTTTATCTATTGCTATTTTTGTCAGAATTTTATCAGCTCTGAAGTCCAGAACAATAGAATAGTGAACCAACTTGTCACTTGATTTATTTTAAATAAAGTAAGAACATTTTTTTCCTGTTTAGAATCAAGCACAGGTTAGAAGAGATTGAAATCACTAGATTAATAATGGATATTACTGTATAAATGACAGAGTAAATTAGCAGTTACTTATAATCTTACACTTCTAATTTAAAAAGCTTTCAAATATATTCCTTTGCATATTACAAAATGAAGCTAAGTAATATGAAAACTATCCACATGGCTGAGCCTGAGATATAGATGATAATAATAACATACAATTGTTCCCTATTTTTCTATTAATGTTTTAATTTTAATGAAATTTCTAGCATAATTTCTATCAAATAAATAGTTTTCTCAAAGTTTTGAAACTTAACTACAAACAGCCCTGAGGCAAAGTTAATTACTTCCATAATTTATCACTTGGAAAATGCAGTCCTGTGTTTAGTGAATATACTGTAGGATGGCAAGGGATAGAGTTGCAGCCTTAGGTATCAAAATATCTCGGACAATTTTTTCAAACTTTATGATAAATTTTTTTTTTATTCATCTGTCTTCTGATTTAATGTTGTTTATTGTTTAAGGGCCTGACTCAAGGGAATTTTCTTATATTCTTATAAATTTTCCAGTAATTATGTCACTTCCTTGGGCTATTTGACATCCTTGTCAAATAGCTGAATATTGGCTGAATATTAATTACCCTGTAATTAAACTGGTGTTTAAAAGCTATATTTATAAATTTGACTCTGGTTTAGCAAGAAACCACAGATATCTTTTAAATCTTTATAAGAATGAGGTAAAATTTCCAGGAATATTGGAATATCTGTTACCTAAGGCAATGAAAACACTAATTTCAGAAAGATAGGTGCAGCGGTTTTGGAGTCAGGCTGCTTTAGAAAAATATGGTAATTTATTTAGCCAGAATTAGGTGAAATTTATGGGCAAGATACATCACAATTATTCTTTGCAAATGCAATTCATATCTGTTCTGACAAATTACTTCAGCCTGATGCAACTTGAAAAGGTCAGTGTTAATCTAAAAACAAAGAACCGTGAGTCCTGTAGAAAAGGCCAAATCAGCTTAAATTGTAGCACATTGTTATTAAGCACAATGGCACATTATGATCTTTATTCCTAATGTTTGATTCTAAGATTGTTCCTAGTTGCTGAAATACAAAACAGATGGACAAAAAGTGTTTTGTTCATAAATGCTGTTTAGGACTAGGATTCAAACAACAGTGTAAGTAATTCCCTGAAAACAAGAGAGTATTAAACATGTGTGATGCATTTGTGTTCTGTTAATCTGTTTTAAAAACCTAAGAAGCAGTAGTTTTATTTATTTACAAGGAAATACCAGAGTTTTCAGTATGTCTTATTTATATATATGTATCAATATGTTTGTATGTATGTGTATATGTGTGTGTATAATCACACACACATGCATATTCTCTTTCCTTTGGATATTTAACAGCTTTTCCTTGTTGCATTATATTGTATTTAATACATATACAATGTGTGTTTGCATAACTTTGATCGGATATAGAAATAGATTCAGAAAGGCTTTTTAAAACCTTAGCTAACCATAAAAGAAAAAAATAATCTTTCTGCAGTATTCTGTAATCCTATTGTACAAATCTAACTATCTGAATCCTGAACTCATCCTCTCTCCTCTTCTGTTTATACAGAATAATCCAACTGTTAAAAACCGTGGTTTTCTGATTTATAAAGTAAGCCACATTCAATTTTGGAATCTGAGCTTCAAGTACGGTATTTCCTATCCACCTGCCTGGCACTTGCTATCAGCTCAGTGACAGATGGAAAGTTAAGCTTTTGGAGTAAAAAAATTCTCTCCAGAAAGCATTTGTTTGGCATCAAGAGGAATACTCAAAATCATGTGCAGAAAAACCAGTGGTTTTATCTTCTAAGATAAGTACTTGCAAGAACACTGCCAGATACAGCAGTTGAAGAACCTGTTTCTGGACAGTAGCATTAGCAATGATTTATGGGTTTATGTTATACCTATGGCACTTAAAAATTCTGCGATAAATAGGCAGTGGCTTCACATATGTCCCTGATGTGTTATGTAATTTAATAAATTATTGCACATTGTGAAATAATTAGTATGTAACTGAAATGTACAACAGAACACAATTGTGGTTTATATTAATATCTGCCAATGTATGTAAGGTTTCCATAATTTTATAATAAACTGATAGAATAAAAATATAATCTCAAGTCTGGAAACTTTATTTATATGGATGCATAACCTAAAATATGTTTTGGGGATTAAAATTGTTTTACCAAGAAGAATATTATGTGTGATACACAATGATAAATGGATTGTTTTATTTTCTTTTGTCAGAAAGCTATTATTGTTATACTAGTGGTGTGGGGACTGGTAAATTATGAATGCTTAAGAAATATTTTGGTAGAATTGCACAATGTTTGACTGCTTTATATTTATTTTTATCCCTGGAGATTTTGCCAATGTCTATTGCTATCCATCTGGCAGGATGTTCATAAACAATCTCCAAACACTGTATTGTCAGTGCTTAAATATGTATCATTAACTTTATTGTGCTAGCTGCTTTATAGATGTTTTCCTCTAGCATTATTGATTTGGAAAGTTTGGCATACAGCACTGTATTGGAATGTATGAAATGGATAAATATCTCATGTAATTGATTACTGGTTATATAATCTTGCAGTTAATGGTAAGCCAGCTAATAGACTATAATGTCTTCCTTCACTGATTAAATTAAAACTAAATGTTTCCTTTTGAAAAATGTAAGTGGGAACCATGCAGATTTGATGAGGAATGTGTACATCTATTTTAAGGTCTTTAAATTAAGTTTATTCTCAGGTAAATGTGCATATAATTGCAGTCTTAGTACTTTGTTTCTGAATGGTGCTAATTATATTTTTCATAACTCTTGAAAGAAAATGCATTATTGTTGCTCCCTTGTTTTTCTCATGACTGGCTGATAACTTTTAATGACTCTTGTGCATATTTGAATTAATATTTTCCTACATTAGTAAAACTATTGGTGAGAAAGCTATAGCAAATAAATTGTGTTTGTGTAAGATGCTAGACCAGATCAGCAAAAGACTTGGTGCTTATAGTTGCAAAATATGTGAACCTTTAGATTTGATTATTAAGTTTTGTTTCATTTTTAAATGGTCTACCATGATGTTTAAATCCCCAAATGGATTCATTCAATAGCTAAAATAATTGTGGCATGTGATTTCTTATCTTCTTTCAGGGGGATAGTCCTGAAGATGACCAAGACTTTGGAAGGATTATAAATATTATTATACTCTTTTTATTGTATAGCTAGGTTTTCAGAAATGAAGATCAAACTCAATCAATTCTATCCAGAGAAATTATGATAGAATTACCCAGTTCTATTTTCTGTGTTTTAGAGATATGAGCACTTTAAAAATTATTAAAAAGTTGGGCCTCAAACTGCACGTGGACACAAGCAATACATTATTCTGCTATTACCACCCTTCCTCCACCAGGCTTCCACACGAGCCTTCAAAAGGAACACCTGCATTAAAGACAAGATTTATTAATGTTAAACTAACTTATAAAGCAACTGCATCATTTTTCAGGTACACCCAGAAGCCTGAAAGAAGAGTTGTTTAAATGAATAGCACAGAGCTGCTGTGCTTGTATAAGATCTGAAGCACTTCATCTAAATCAGGGGTCCCCAACCCCGGGCCACTACCAGGCTACAGCCTGTTCAAAACCGGGCCAGGGGAGAGATGGGCAAGCACACACGCATGAAGCTCCACATGCGTGAGCAGTGGACAAGCACTCTCCACTTGCATGAGGCGAGTGCAAGTGCCTGCCGCTTGTGTAACTGAAGCTTCACATACAAGCGCAAATGCCAAACTCTTGTGTGAGCGGAACTTTGCGCGCAAGCACAAGTGCCCCCTGTTCACTCGAGTTAAGCTTCACATGCAAGCATAAGCATCCTCCACCCATGCAAGTGGAGCTGTGCATGCATGTGTGCATGTGCCTGCCACTCACATGCACTGCCTGCCCTGGGCCAGGCTGCCAAGCTGGAAAGGTAAAGGATGCTGGCCTAAATAATTTTTGAAACATGCACAAACCAAGGTTTATCTTTGCAACTTATCTGCAGTTTAATATGAGGTTATATGTATCAAAATATTTGAGATGTTCTACAAATAGCAACAGAATTAACGTAGATAGTACTTTTTGTGCATTTCATATATTTCAATTACTTCCATTTGTATTTTGCACAAGATTTTTACTTGTAAAGTTGTACTTTCCAGTGGACAGTTTTTATCATTTTATATGCTATGATTTTAATTCTTAGGATTCAAATACATAATTAAATAATATATCCTATTGTTTCCTGGACATAAAACTCCCCCAGTTTTCTGGAATATAATAGCAACTCTTGCACTTTCATAATGTTCCATGTAAGCTTGTTACTCTTGTAGTTTCAGGAAGCAATATTTCCATGCAGATGTTATTTAACTGTCATTAACATGTGTTTCTATTTTGGACTATGCTTCAGACTGCAATTAAATATTATGATATGTCTCTAAATCTTCTCTAAAAAAGATGCCAACAGAATACAAACTTTCCTATCAAATCCTGTCAAGGATGATTCACTTGGTTACTTATCGAGCATCTTTAGCGTTAATTTCAATGGGACTTGATCTTTTATTAGAATAAAGTTAATAGAAAACATTAGCTACTTATTAGTGCTGATAAACAACTCAATATAAAGACAAATAAACTGAGTTCAATCATGAATTTCTCTATGGTAGGAATGTCAAACTCCAGGCCCGTGGGCTAGATCCGGCCTACTGGATGTTTAATCTGGCCTGCAGGGCTGGCCTGGTCCGTGGTGCTTCTGGCAGTCAAAATGGGGTGCATGGGGGCCATGCTTGGCCCCCACACACCCCATTTTTGGCTTAGATGACCTCCTACAGCACTCTGCCAGCCAAAACCCGTGGCCTGTTTTGGCCAGCAAAGTGCTGCAGGAGGCCATCCAGGCCAAAAACGAGGCAGCGGGGGGGGGGGCACACATGACTCCCCTGAGTCCTGTTTTGGCCAGCAGGATGTGCTGCACTAGGCCTCTGTCCCGTCTCTTCCTCCACCCCAGCTGACCGACAAAGAACTACAATGCATATCCGGCCCTTGAAGAAATCCAGTTTGACATCCCTGCTCTATGAACTAAAAATAATAAAATTAGGCCCCATCTATAGCTGTTTGAATAATAACAGTTCTCTTTCACTGTTAGTTCTTACATGCTGAAATGTTTCAAGGTTGTACGTTCTTAGGTTTATACCAAACCAAAGATACTGTATTTCTTGGGCATTTGAATAACATTTTTTTTATTAATTATTATGTCTCTATTTTATATATGAAGCAGAATCAAACTAGATTTTTGGAGGAATATTAGGATGATAGTTGATAGATTTATTTCCTACCAAGGGTTTTTTTTTTTAACCATGAAATAATAGTGTATTATTATCTGAGAATCTTCCAACGGTGAAGAGAGACACTGACATTGTCAGATATTGTTCATCTTTATAAAAAGAAGCCTATTTTTTTTCAAATTTTGAGAAATCCCTTTTATGTCAGAGATCATAATCAAGAGTAAGTAGGCATGAATACTATATAGTTTATAATGGGAAAAGTCAGCTATCAAAAAAGAAAAATGTTTATCTAGAATAGTTTCATACTGTATATATTCATTATACAGATGGAAAATCAGATGCACTTTTTAATATCTGTCTAAGCCAGTGGCTACGCTATGATAGCTAGGGAATTCTAGGACCTGGAAGTCCACACAAGTTAAAGTTGCTAAGGTTGAGAAATACTAGTATAGATCAATAATTCATTTTTCCTCTCGCCTGCACTCATTTGCACACTTAAAACCCAAGATAGATTTATCAAAGCTGCTTTATTCTTTACTATGCATGACAATAGTCCTTACACATCTTCAATGTTGGCCTCTAATTTTCTGTTCTCCTATTGGGCCAGCAAGAAAAGAAGCAATGAATCATTTTTTTTCTGCTACTTCATACACCAAAGGATAATGGAACTCTACTTTGTGCTTTCATAACAGTAATAAATTTTGTGGATGTTCTCTCCATTATAATTATCCCTTTCTCCTGATCCTTTTTTTTTTAAAGCAGGTGAGATATTCTTTGAATATGTAAAGGTTTGCTTTATAGCACTGGTCTAGCAATTCAAGTAGATTATAGGGCCTGCACAGCTATAGGTTGTTCTTTTTCTACTTTATGAGCAGTTGAATGACCTCTGCAACCGACACAATCCCTATGAATATGCAGAAATCCTCCTTTCACAGAAGAGAATAGCGGGAAGAATTTCTGCCACCACAGACTTTGGCTGCAGTGTTTCTTCGTATTTAAACATCATCATGCTAGCTCAAGCCTGACTAAACTTAGCAAGAAAGATTTTTAAAAAAGTTTTGATTTAATAGAGTGGAATTATTTTTCCCAGTTTGGTCTCTCAGTTCAACATATGAAGTACAGAATAATTTCTTATTATTTCCATTTTCTGCCACAAAAGCTGATTGGTTTTATTTATCTCACAGGAAAAAAAAATCATCTCAGCAGCAAATACACTGATGCCCACAAAAGTAATTCTTTAAAAAAAAATCTTTTTAAAGATGCTAACAAATTTACTTACAAACACCTATATTTATTATTTCATAAATAGGCGCAACAGTTTCCATAAAAAAAAGATTAAATACAGACACAGGATGAAGAAACAATAATACAGAGCCATATGTAAAGATTATAATTTAGCTGTTTCCAATCTGTTTCTGCATCTAATAAAATATCAAGAAAGCATTTGGCAGTTTTATACATAAGAGGACATAAATGACATTTACTAACTGTTACACATAAAGTGATAAAAAAAGCAGTTTTAGGCAGTACAAAATAAATGTGTTTGCTCTTTTCCCAATATCATTTTTTTCTTTGTATAATTAATGACACAAATCCAATTTCTGTTTAATTAAAATCATTTGGGAATAATTTTCATCTTTCTTTTCAGAGTTTGAAAATATAGAACTATTAGTCAGTTGCTTAAAAATGAAGTAAAAATATGAATGTTTGCCAATTTAACCCCCTTTGTGAAATCAATAAACTGGAATGAGCCAGTTTCAAAGTACAATTAGCTACAAAAAACATTCACATTTTATACTCTAGGAGAGTGAAACATAGATGCTATTTACAACTTGCTATGATTGCTACATAAAGCCATTTAAAAAGTCTTTAGTAGTTTCATATAAACACCCATTATGAAAAACCAATGGAAAATCCAGGACTTTTATCCAAGACATCTACAGTTGCTAAGGCAGTTACTAGCGCAGCACTTCACAGCAAAAATAAAAACCAACAAAATTCAAATGGTCCAATCCTCCTTCTGCAAGGAAGGAAGAAAAGCAATGTCCATTTAAGGAAGGAGAAAGAAAAAGAAAGGAGGGGTGGAGGAACAAGACATTTTTTTCCCAGAGTGAATGACCCACCAGCAAAAATAGTCCTAAGTGCTTAGCGACTTATATGTTCTAAATAAATGCAGAACTGCCTCGACTGCAAAAAGCAATCCATGATGAAAAGACTTTCCTGCATTCCTCAGTGAAAAGAAGAGATGTATTTCCAAATATTTTCAGGTAAGATACAGCGCTTTGTCCCTCTGCATGGCCCTGTTGAAGAGAGGAGGAAGAAAAAAGAAGTTAGGAGTCACATTAAAAAGCAAATGTAAGCAGACACAATGGATGGGATACTGTTAATCTCTGAATCCATGCTGTGATTTTTCAAAGCTGCTGAAACAGTCAAACTATATTTCATATTCTCATTAAACTCAGGTGAAGCTTTATTTTCATAGATAGCTCATTATTGAAAGGAAACCATATTCTTTTGATACTAGAAAAAAAACCTGTGTGGGGAAATTCCAGAAATTTTATTCTCTCAAATTGATATTTATTCTGGCCAAGGATTTTAAAATCTCTTTTCTTTATAGCACTTTGTGGTGGGAAGTTGCAAATTAATAGTTCTTATAATTAGAAAGTATTATGGTTGAATTAAAAGATAATCTTTGCAACTTCCCTTCAAGTCAGATGCCCTGAAAATGAATGTGAGGTGTACCTATGGGAATCATAAAGCCCAGTTGGATGGTAAGTGATATCATAAGCGAACTACAATTAGAGGAGCAAAGATATAGGCAAGGAACTCTGCCTATGTAATAAGACATTGCACTTACCATCTCATGCTCTAAAGCAAAGGTGTCAAACTCATGTCACACCATTGTCACGTGATGTATCACAACTTTTCCCCACTTCACTAAACTGGGTATGGGCGTGGCCAGCGTGTGACATATTCGGCCCACAGCCCATCAGTTTGACAGCCCTGCTCAAAAGCCTATTCCTGAGAGCCAAGAAATTTGCAAGAAGTATGTGAAGTACATGCTATACTGCAAAGGATAAACAAATGAACATAGGAAATCATCTGTATGAGTAAGTGCCTTGTGCTCATGCATAAGGCCCTCTGGATCAATAAACAATGTACCTGTCAAATGAAGCAGTCATAAGCTGTAAAAAGTTGTAAAAAGCTGTAAAAAGAAAACAGCAGCCTTACATGTAAGTTATACTATCTCCTGAATCTGCCTGACAAGTCCCCCAGATTTGGGCACAGAGCAATGGCAGCCAAGACTCAAGGTTGACCAGAGTTATTTAACAAAGACAATCACAAATTAATTGTCCCTTTGAAATATGAGTCTTAGTTGTAGTGCAAGATCTTCTCCCAAAACCTCTTTCCTTAATTGCAGCATATGAAAATGATCCTTCTGTTAGCTATACAAGATTTCTGCTGGCCTCTAGGATATATTTGTTGTATAAAAATGAAAACCACGTCTGAGCCTAGTTTTTGTTTTAAATGCTATTGAATGCCAGGTGGCATGCACTGCCTGCTCACCCATTACTGCAGTAATCATTATTCCATTCCACAGTCTGTGCTGGGGGATTTCTGCACCCTGAACGAACATATTCCATTGCTTGGGTAACAACTTGTGCAGCTGTAGATGCTGGATTGATAATATTCTGGTAATCAGGCTGGAGAGTAAAACCCTAAAAACAAAAACGAAATAAAACAAGGTTTAATTATGCAAGCTAACCTCTCAATTGAAAGGCTTGATAAAGTACCGAGTTGTTCTTCACCATTCTGAAACTTGCAGCAAAAAGAAAATAGATAGGCACTTGTGGCTTTTCAGACAATAATTTTAATTGGTTAAGACAAATGCCAGACAACAAATTGCAATCATGTAGAGAGAAATGTTGAGGCAAAGAACAAAGACATTTTAAAGCTTTGCAAAAAAAAAAAGTTCATTCAACATGAGAAAATAAAAGAAAGGTCTGTGTGTTTCTTGAAGCTCATATTTCAATTCAATCCAAGGATATTCTATTAGTTAATTCCAAGAATATGCAACAGAATCTTTTTGAAGGAGGCAGGCAGCAGGTGGCTGAGTGTTTTATTAGACTACACCTATTCACAATTATTGTTCTCAAACCCCTTTTATTTGGTTCAGCCACAAAAGGACCATCTGCTGCTTCCTTTATTTGCACTTCTTTCTCAACTACACAAAAAATCAACTAAAGCTTTTTAACCCTTGTTAGACTAATGTAGCAAAAAAACCAACAGCCTACCCTCTACCCACCCCCCACTTGCTGTTGTTTGCAACATGTTTAAATGTTTTCCAAATCAGAAAGCTGATCAGATTTTCAAGAATGCTTCACTGCCAAAAGGTCAGGAGACCTGCTTTATTGTATATCATAATAGACCAAGTAATGTACAGCAGAGAAAACAGAACAAACCAGCCTAAAAAGAAACTTCCCAAGGACATCAGAGGATGATACATTAAGTTAATGTTCCATTTAACTGAGCAGAACACATTTGTCAGAAATTGCATTCTTTTCACTAGTTTATATTTGGCAAACAGAACAAATACCTAACTTAAACCAACAGGTTTCTAACTGACCATTCATGTTACTATTTCATGAATAGCTCATGAGGTGGGGTTCATTTAACAAGGGTAAACTTTTCAAGCATTACTTATTTTCAGGTAGGCCAAGATACAGAACTTATGAAGGATGAAGAAGGTTGCAGGCCATTGCTGGAATATAAACTGAAATCATAGTCAATTTACTTGGCCAGTCAATGGTTCCTATCTATTAATATCAGAATGGCTTAATATTATGATGGGGACAATATTTAAATCCATCCACTTTCTAATTATTATTTTTTCTATATGTTAACTAAAATAAAAAATACACAGCCTATATAATGATTGGGAATGGAGGAAGGAACTGAGAAAAGAAAAGAGTAGTCACCCTTCTAAATGAATTCCAGATTTCCACAGCAGATTTGAGTGTCTAAATAGGTTTTTTTTTTTGATAAACAAATAGCTCAGGAAATATCTTGATATTTTCTGTTCCAGTGGAAAACAACAGAGTTAAAAAATATGCTACTAACATGCTTCTAATATTAGGAGTGTCTGCAATATGAGTAAGCAAAAACAATGTATTTATTTTACTGTTGTACATAGCATATTTGAGAACATCTGAATGTAATTTGGGGTGTCAGATTTCTCTAAAACAGTCTTTTAAAAATTTTATTCCATGACATTTCTTTTTAATATAAATAAGTCATATATGCTAATTTTTATCCTAGTTCTGTGATGTCTTGTTAAACTGCATAACACATAATTCTTTCCTAATCTCCTATGATGCTTTTCCCTCAGGGTACTTTTTGAACTTTTCCACGTGATGCCTATTTCTTTTAACTGCAGAGTTAACATTTAACTGCATTTGTTGTATGTTTCAATTCTTAAGAATGTATATTGTTTTAAATCTATAAATCTGTATTGGAGATTTTAACAGAGAAGATTTCTTATATTTTTAAGTGAAACTGTAATAATGCCTATGTAATTTATGAGTTGTCTTGGGAATACTCTAAAATGCAAAGTATGCATTTGAAACAAAACATAATACAGTTTTCTCCAGGCAAATATTAAAGATCAGCTGAAGTATTCTTATACAGCAAACCACAACTTCTCTGTCCTTTCATTGTATGCATCAAAGAATGATTAATACCTTTAAAAAAAAGCTATCTATCAAACTAAGGCTAATATTTTGTTTAAAGAATATCAAATTTAACCAATTATCCATATATCATAATTTATCCTGACATTTCTGTTTTGTGTATAAAGCACCTGGGCTCTTGGTTGTCCATTATTTCCTGCTTTTTCAACCTCAGTTGCTTTGTGCGGCACAGCTGAGATTGAAAAAGCAGGGAAGAAGAGGAGTTTGAAATGCTATGCAGTGCAGCACTTGTCAGTGTCTGGGCGGCACACCTGAGGTTTTTTGGAAATGGTCTACACACATGCGCAAAATGCACTCTCACCAGGGGTGGGATTCTGCCTGCCAGAGAACTGGCAAATTGCACCACTGGTGCATCAAACTTGCCTGCTAAGTTGCTATTTTTCCTTTTTTTCGACAACCATCAACTGTTCTGCTGTGCTGAGAGATTTAGATTAGCTAGAAAACAGGAAATCATTGGATTTCTTGCTTTCTAGTTAATCTAAAAGCAGAATTGAACCTTCCTTAGGACTGAAGCTTCTATTTTTCAGGTCAGACTCAGGTCGCCGATTGCAGATAGACAGATCTTTAAGTGAATCTGTGATTCAGTGAGCAACTCAATCTGCCTGCCTGCTTTGCCTGATCTTGGGTAAAAAGGTTAAAAATAAAAAATTCAATATTTACATACATAGTGTGTTGTGAGTTAATTTTATGAATTTGCTTGCAAGCAAATTTTATCTGACAGGCTCAGGTAGCCGATGGCAGAAAGATAGATCTCTGAATGAAATTGTGATTCTGTGAGTAACTCAATCTGCCTGCCTGCTTTGTCTGATTTTGTGTAAAAGTTGCTTTTTTATAAAAAATTCAATGTTTACAAAAATATTTATAATATTTACATTTACAAGCCATGCCCAGCCAGTCACATGACCACCAAGCAATGCCCAGTCAGCAAGCCACGCCCAGCCAGTCACATGACCACAAAGCCACACCCACAAATTCGGCCATACCCACAGAAACGGTTGTTCAGAAATTTGAATTCCACCCCTGCTTCAATCATAGATCTGCTCTTCAGAATAAATGTGTCAATATCCATATCCAATATTTGAGTCTAATGGAGTTGTATTATTTATATACAAACCGTATTTACATTTTGCAAAGGTTAAAATTTAAGATGTTTCCTCCATTCTTATTGTACCTTCCCAACACTGGATCAAAAGTTCCACTGCATTTCTGGTTAAACCTGAGGAACAGGGACAAAAAACCCCAACTTTTTAAAAAGTTAAAAGTTGGGTTTTTTTTAATTTCCAAAAGCAAAACATTTACATGTAAATTATATTGCTATAAATCCTTCCTAAATAATCCAAAAATAGATAGCTTGCTGTCCAACTTTAATTATATTTTTAAAAAGATTTGGGATCCACAAAAATTGATCTGCAACCTTTGAGTTGTCAACTTCTGTATTAGTCAACAGACCCACTGAATTAATTCATAGTAATTCATGAATCAAAGCATCTTCTGAAAAAGAAACAAGGTGAGGCGTGATGATTTATTTTACTCTAGCTCCTGCAGGAATCAACTGCATAAATGTTTTTGAAATATCGGGTTTGAAATTTTCTATGTCTATCTGTCTGTCTTGGAATGGACAACTCTGATTAGTTTATTTACTTTCTATTTTTGTTCTTCTTTACTTTCTCTTATTGCTCTTTTATATTTTCTTTTCAGAACAAAGCTAGATTTATTAATACTGAGAACAATAAGCGAAGTGTTATTGAATTAATAGCATATTCTACTTCTGTTCAAGAATAAATAAGCTATAATTTAAATTTTAAGCAGATTTCCTTATTAATGAAGAGTTTTCTTTTCTACTGTTAATTGCAAAACAGGAGAATAAATTTCAGTTTCTTAGATTTAATTTGACAATTTTGTTGGTATAATAATGCTTATTAATATTATATTACAAAGCTAATGGAAGAACATCAGAAATACCAAGTGAGAAAATAGGGTTTCAAATTGTTCTTTTACTTACTCTCAAGAGCAGCTCATGAGAGATCAGGTAAACTATCCAGACATAGAAACAAGTATCAGTAGAAGAACTTTGCACACAATTGTTTCAAAAATCATAAAACTGAAACTCTATGAACTAAAAACACAGTGGTAAATGTTATGCGGTGTGCCACCCAAGATAAGATCAATAACCATTTTGTGGCATGCCTTGAATTTTAAGGTTCATTTCCTAGCTCCATGCTGAAATAGAAATAGGGCACTTGATAAAGATTAATTTGACGTCAGATGGCACATTTGCTCTTTAGATTTCTGTATCCCTACTTGGGGGTTTTGTGTGGGCCTGTAGCAAGTACAAAAAAGCTTCCAGTGAAACATAAACAGTGGTCCTCATCTTCCCACTTTACTGGGAACTAATTTCATTTCCTGCCTGTCTAGAGAGGTAATTTCAACAGGCATCTATGTTTTGTCTTCACAACTGATTTATTCATCAATCTCAATGTGATGTTTTTTTAAACTCTTAAATTACACCCAAATTCTAAAGCATCTATTTATTACACAAGGAAATTGAAAATCTGTCTGTGTGATATCACACAAAGATTCTCCCTTAAGGTTATAAGGACACTTGACAGATATTAATGATTTTTCTCCTTCTCCTAAACCACATTTAGAAAAACAACGCGTGGGGGAGTGAGTAGTGAAAGTGGCTAAAAGGAATGAAATACAACCAAATACTTACTGAATTTTAAAACTGCAGACAAAACAAGCCAATATTTTCTTCAAAAGCTAGTGCATAATCATAGTGCTAAAGAAAAAAATGTTGTAAAAGGAGTAGAAATGAATATATTGGAAAGCCATGACTTTTCCCATGGGAATTAAATACAACAGCCCCTGCCATAGTTGAGCTATACAAGAATAATATAATTCATATGTGTGTTTGCCTATGTTAATGTTTGTGTAGGTATCTGTCTCACATAGAGATTACAGAGATGAGAAAAGTTTGTTTTTTCAATATGATGTTCTCCACTAAGATCAGTGCTTTTCAATGTTTACATCTTATATCTTGTCAATTACATTAGCAAAGAAACAGGTTACATATGATGGTACATTTAACTATGCCCCAGTCAGTGGGAAATGATCATTCTCTTGGATATGTGGAGATATGTGGAGATGTGAAGCCACAACATTTTTTAGTCTGCATTGGTAAACTTGACTAGGAATTATGGAACCCCTAGTCTAGTTGTTTGGAAGAGGCAGACTGTTTTAATTAGCTTTTTGTAATTACAAATATACACATGACATATTAGAATATATAAATGGTAACAATCCAATGTTGAAAATAGGCAATTTGACTCAGGAACACAGGTAAGAAAACAAGCTGACTCCTAGCCAGAACATCAATATGTTCTGAAGAAAGCTATCCTAAAATATTCGTATACTGCTTAAAAAACAAAGTACGGGGGTTGGGCTGCTAGAAGACCTCCAAGATCCCTTCCAAATATGTTATTCTGAGTGCAGTAAGTTAGCCTATTAAATATTGCAATGCAAGAAATCAAAATGAGGTAGTTTTTCAACCACAGTATATTTTTTATTCTGTTTTAATGAAAATTGTATTTACATTTTATGGGAAAGTAGGAAAATCTATGTTACAAAAGGTCATTAGCAGTGCAAATAAAGACATCCATACGTATGTGATCTATTTCCTAGAACTCATTATCAAATAGTTTTACTTGAAAATAAAATGTATAAGATATACTTAAATTTATGATAACCATAAAGAAAAAGCATAGCTGTTTTTGCTTATGAATATTATAAGGAAATTTACTTAACTAGCTAGCCTGTTGTGATTTTTTTTGCTAATGAATTTAGAGGAAAATATGACCAATGAGAAACTTCAGGCAGAGGCAAACTCTCTAGGTGAAATGGATTCATTTTAACCATATGTAAGTTAAAGCATAGTGGGAAAAAAATCTAAATGTTTGCGCTTATGACAAATAAATTGATGCCACTCTTATTATACTCTGTCAAATTAAATAATTTTATTTAATACCATACTCTTAATAAAGGTGTGTCAAACTCGTGGCCCAAAGGCTGCATGTATCATGTCCCACACACAATTTACTAAAGGGAGAAAAACTTGTGATACATCATGCTGCCATGATGCTGTGAGTTTGACACCCCTGTTCTAATAGAATTAACAGTGCAACCCACAGTTCTTCATTACAATAAAGTAGTGAAAGCTCAGAATTTTCTATAATATTCCTACTTCTATGCTATTACCCACTTCTTAGCTTGGAGACATCACATGGGAATCGAATATAGTTGAGGAATATGTTCTAAAGCAGGAGGAAATGTGCTCTGCTTTAGATTCTGATTTAAATCAGAATGTCCAACTGAAATTTAGGTTCAGAAGTATCATAACAAGTAGGTTAAATTGAGATATAATCAGCAACAGAATTATGGTATGGCTATGCCAGTTTCCACACAATATATTAAAACTGGAATGTTTTATATGGTAAAGGACCTGAGGATCTAGTTATTCTTTCACTATGAGAAAAATGTTCTCCAAATGATTATAACTTGCTGAGAATTGAGAATCATCACAATATGAACATTCCCAAAAAATTCTCTTCACTAATATTTCTCAAGTGATGTATGTTATAATGTTTTCTTGCAAACAAACCTATACTCTCCACAATTAGGGACATTGTTTGTGGAATAGTCCATACATCTAAAGTTATAGATCAGAACAATTCTTTTCCTACAGCTATATTTAATACTTTATTTCAGATGTCATTTAACAAAGATCAACAGGGAGTGCTCATGTGCCAAGTTTCCTAATTTAACTACATACCATATTTTTTGGACTGTAAGATGCACATTAGCTTTAGAAGAAAAAAACAAAACAAAAAAAATCTGCCTCTGCTGCCCATTCACCGCCACTGCCCATTTGCCATTGCTGCAGCCCATTCACCACAGCCCATTCACCCCCGCAGCGGCCTGTTCGCCACCTGTTGATCATGGCCCATTTGCTGCAGCCCGTTTGCCATGGCTCATTTGCCACTGCTGACACCTGTTAACTATTGCCCATTTGCCACTGATCCCCATAATCCCTGCTGATCCCTGCCACCTGATCAGCAACACACCAACCTCCCTTGCCCTCCGCAATATTCACTCTATAAGAAGCACAGACATTTCCACCCACTTTTGGGGGGGAAGTACGTCTTATAGTCCAAAAATACGGTAAGCTGATTAAGTAAACAAAAGAAATTACTCATGACATATATTAGGAGGTAACAGTTTAAAATTCAGCAAGGACTTACTTGTTGCATTGTTGGTGAATGTATAGCAGACTGCACTTGCATCGGCAGCTGATTTCCAATGGATTGCTGCATTGTAAGTGTCTGATGTTGTTGTATACTGAGATGTGGATGAATTGGAGGACTCATCTGAAGGGTTGGTGGAGGAGTTACAGCCAGGTTGGCTATTGAAACAGTCACTGGCATTTGGTTGTTAGGCTTAGGTGCTATATTCCTTGGAATATTGGGATGTATGGCTGTTATATGAGGATTTATTCCTGTTTGTTGATGGTAATGGGAACCTAAGTACATTGCTGAATGAGGCTGTGTGGATGCATGGAATACTGGCTGCTTTGGACTCATCATCTGAGGCTGCTGAGAAACCTTAACATCCACGGGCTCATTGTAGCTCTGTTTAAAAAAGAAAAACCCCCACCATCAATTATTAGAAGTCTGAGATGTGTAGTTGTCCTGAGAGACAAGACATCGATAATGTCAATATTAAAAAAGCTTGTATATTTTTTCCTCAGTTTCCTACATTGTTATTTTCTAATACCTGTATTATAAACTTGATGTGCTCACATAAAGGCAGTAAAGAGTACAGTATTAACTCCCAAGGGCTTGCCAGCAAATATGTATCTGAATAATAATTTATATCTTAAGGAGAAGTTAAAGGAATAACTATTGAAATATGCCAGGAAAAAAATGATAAAATCTTCCGCAAATGGTTCTATGTCAAAAGAAACGTTGGAAGATTCCTGTATGTCCTTATTCTATGACCTCAATGTCACATTTGCTCCATTTTCAAGTCAAAATAAGTTTAATGTTAGTCTAAGCTTTCTAGGGTTACTGGAGCCTGTGAGAGCCATTTGTATTCTTTCTGATATATGCACCATCACCACCAATCAGCATATATGCACATTACAGAAATTGCTTCATTATCTGTAATAATGTACAGTGAAAAAATGATAACTTCATTTCCCCCATCAAGCTTTAATAATGATAGCAACAAAAATGTATTTTCTCCAGTAAACTGCACAAAATTAAATGGAAATGATAAAGGGAATTCAATTTTCTGTGTATAGGTAAGAGTATGTCTTTCATTTCTGTAAAGTGGTACATGTACATATTTATGCACACAGAAAAATATATTTGAAAAGGCAAAAAATATGAAATGCTGCTTTTTAAAAACTTCAAAGGCAAAAGTTACACCAAAAAAAGTAGATGTCAATGGTGTTTCATCTTATACTAATAGAATTTAATTATTTATAAAGTTCATTTTGTAACAATTGTTCCACTGAAATATTCAATATAGAGAACTGAAAACCCATTGAATGTTTTAGAATCCTGCCTCTGTGATTCGGAGTCAAAGTACAACTGATCCAAGTTATACCCAAATAAAAAAAGGAAAAAAACAAAAATGGAATCAGTGAATACTTCTGGCAATAATTTGAAAAGGGGGAGGGATGTCTCTGTGTGGGTGTGTGTACAATTTCCACACAGTTCATAATGTTTAGAATTTCCCTAAGGGCAAGAATCCTAAGAATTTATGCTGAAGAGTGAAGACATAAGGGGTACAAGGAAAGCCACAAAACTATTACAAAGATAAACAAAAATCTGAAAACTATTATTTTTAGGATTTATCAAAAAAAAATTATGTATATTAATTCAAAAGCTAATATATTTTAAACACCTGAGGAAGATTATTTTTCTGTGTGAATTTTAAAGATAATCTAATCTTTATAAATTGTATAAAATGTATGTGTTTTAGGGTATAAGAATTACATACAGTTAGAAGAATAAGCATAAAACCATGGCAGTCTGATCTTAGTTGGGTCTGATAATGTATAATAGGGCATTAACTAACCATCCTATGCAATCAGAACTCAATCAGCCATCTTGAATGCAATGTAAAAATCCTTGAACTAAACATGAATACAAAGCATTATCTTATGTATGATTTTCAGAAACTTGAGAGTAAGCATCCATCTTAAAATGAAGCTATTCTTCAGAGGCTGAAAGATTATAAATTATTTGTTACAACATATCAGAGATACTGAAATGATCATAAACCAATAGTATGCCTGGTTTCCTTGTTGGAGGTCCCAAATCAATTCCTGGCATTTGAAGAAAATTCTACTTGAAATTATCAGTCACTGTAAGAATTTTCTTATGAAGAGATAGGCAACAAAAAAATAGATAGATGATAGACAGACAGACAGACAGACAGATAGACAGACAAAGGAAATTTCTATATTTTGCTCTACATTGAAGTGGATATGGTTTCCTGTCTTTAAATTTGTTTGGGATACATTTTTATGTTGTATTCTGTTGGAACTGGAAACAAAGTATTTATGAAGTGACAAATCTAGCCAGCTCAACAGTAACAACAGCAAAGCCATGGTTAAGTAATGAAAAGTGCTTTTTTTTTTTTTAGAAATAAAGTTTCAGCTCACCATATCTTAAAAATGCTGTATAATTTGTTAAACTACATGCAAAACTAATAGAAGTTGCAACTTAGAACAACGGTAAACTTTCATTTTTTAAAATATTAAGTATTTTTAATAAGTTCATAATTTGAATAGCATTATATAGAATGTTTTTTGATCTGGTATTTTATTTTTTCACTCCATATCAAGCAAGTGGACTACAAACCAGGATTCTGTTGCTTTGCATGTACACTGAGTGCTTCTGCACCAGTGACAAATTCCTTGTGTGTCTAATCACATTTGGCCAATAAAATATTCAAGATTCAAATAAAGCATTCAGGATTAATTTCAGTAGCACTGTTCATTTACCAGTGGCAAATTTCAAAATGGCAAAAAGATCTGAGAATGTTCTGGCACATTTTCCAATATTATACCAACATATATTTCTAACATCATTTTAAAATGAACATGACCATTTTTAAAGTAATCCAAACAAAATAAAATATGCTATAGACATGTTAGGAAAATATGTGAGAACAGTCAGCCAGTAAAGCTGCTGCTTAGCAGTAGTGACAATCACTAGACTGGAATCTGAAGTTCAACATTACACCACAACAGGTTGAAGAAGCCAACTTTGTAGTGACAATTCCACCCCCCCCCCAGTCCTGCTCATGGTTTCAGCCTGCAAAATTCTATGACAACTGAAACCCATATTACCTTTGATACAAGGCTTGCTCTATATGCAGCTAACTGCTTCAGATATTCTTTCTTAGCAGCTTCAGTTTTCTTTTTATATATCTTAAAAAAAAACCAAGAGGAAAAAGTCAGTAACAATGTTAAACTTGCTTTCAAATAAAATTCCATCCTCAAGAATACATTTATTAAAACAACAAGCTTGTGCTTTTAATTATGTGCTTCCTATACCCTTTTCTCACAAGGAATAATGACAAGAGTTAAAATGTAAAAGTACAGGTTATTTAGCTGCCAAAAGTCATGTGAAACATTAACCTGAGAACTAATCATTAAAAGAAAGGCTTCAAACAGTTACTTTGACCAAAACTATCATACTGCTACACACATTATTACATTACCCTCATTAACACCTCTTCCAGATATGTTGAATTACAACTCCAATAATTTTCAGTTACTATGAATGAAGCCTTTTTAGCAATTTATCTGTGATGATCATAACATAAAAATGTTCACTGGATAAAATCTCAATCAACTTAGATTCATTTTGATAACAATTTATCATACACAACCCAGATTCAATGAAATTAAATCTGAATTGAGTTTGCTATGATAAGACACAAGCTTAGGAACAAGGCTTAGCATGTTTTGCTACCATTCTCTGCTCACCAGGAAGTCACAAATGATACCATACTGCCTGCTTTAAGGGACAATTTCACAATCAACTGAAATACTGGTTAGCAATACAATTTTCACCTGAGATGCTTGCCGACTCCAAAATAATGATGCATTTCTGACAGATAGTACATTGAAATAATAACAAAGCCATTATTGTAATGGCTATTCAACATCATGAACCTGTCATAACAGTAATAATAGCAATAGTCATCAGCAACAAACTAAAAAGGAAATATGAATACATCATTCTGATAACATCAATTAACAAACATCTATATCATGTGTAAATGTCATGATCTAATATATAAGAAAATTCAGTAGGGAGATATTCTGTAGCACTGCATAAAATAACATTCACAAATAGGTACAAACACGAAGTCATCTTTGCTTCTTTATACCATGGATATAAACCATGGATATAATTTTTTTTTTTTGTTTATCAAATTTATATGGATGCACATCTCACACAAAGTGACTTTGGGAAGTGTACAACAAAACATACCATTAAAACATATTACAAAAACAATTAAAATAATTAAATGGTAATTATGTCTGAATTGGTAGTTGATTAGGATATTGTTTAATGCATGATTCTTTTGTCTGGTATTGCTCTTGGTGTTAATTCCTGCTGACCTGAGTGTTGACTGCTGGTGATGTTCTGGTGTTTTTGTTTTGTTTTTAGCCTTTAATCCTAAATAGTGGCTGTTGCAGTTTTTCCACTGTATATTGTAGATGACTGCTGTTTTTTTGGGGGGGGGGCATACTAGAACTTTTAAATTTATTTTACTACGTACCTGTTGTCTCCATGATATATACTCAGAAAAAGGATCTATTTTTGTAAGTTTGCAGTGATATATTTCAAACTTATGACCCATTATTTTAATACAAAGCACAGACATATACTTCCAAGTAATGCATTTCAAAACTATAAAATTATTTATGAAAAAGCACTGAATTGTTATGCACTTTTTTATTCCATCAAAGTGATGGCTTTGACAGCATGCAAATTTCTCTTATCTTTGCTGGAAAAATCCTAAGATTTCTTAAAAGAATTAAAGATTTTGCATCCCAGGAAAATTGTAAGATCATAATTAAGAAATAGGTATCCTATGATTCAAGATTATAAATAGAAGAATAAGAATATGGCATGTGTACATTCTTTTTCAATTTTTTCAGATTGCAAATCTTTGCACAGTTTGTTTCCATAAGCATTTATAATAAGTTATCTTTCTGAGTTGATTGGTTGTAGTTATTGCTAACATGTATTGTTTGTTTCATGGAAACGAAACACCCATTACTTGACAGATTTTCCTCTCTAGCAGCTAAAATTAAATTTGCCTGACCTGAAGAAACAGGCAAGAATATAAATTGCACTCTCTTTGAATACATCTGCATAATTTTGTTATTTCATATTCAAAACAAATACTAAAAATATAAGAATAATAGATCACAGATTTATTTCTGACATTTCTCATTCCATGTGTCCAATTAACGGTAGTTCTATTGAACTTTATACATAGGTACAATTATGGAAGTTTATCATATAGATACCATTTCCTGTCTAGTCATAGACTATTTAATACTTGATCCTCAAAGTTAAGGCTATGATAGAGAGTAATTAATAATATTTTATAGCTGAAATATAACAAAAAGATTCTAAGATGGAAAACACACTGTTAGAGTAATAAACATAGCTGAGCTACAAGACCCAAAAGTCAAATGTTCTATAAAAACCCACACCACTACAAATAGTGCCTTTATTAACAACTATTTATTAACATCATGGTGGAGCTTTGAAATTAAATAAGGAAAATATATGAGGGGTCCATGGTGCTCTCTGAGCTAGGTTGTTTTCTTGCAGACGTTTCATTATCCAAACTAGGTAACATCATCAGTACAGTGATGATGTTACCTTAGCTTGGGTAATGTAATGTTTGCAAGAAAAGAATCCAGCTCAGAGAGCACCAAAGATCTGTCATGTCAACCCTGAGCTATAAATATTTTCCTTTATTAGGAAAATATATGAATATCAATACCAATATACTGTAGGATAAATTTATTGGACTTAATACCAGAAATTAATATTCACACATTACATGCAATAATTCTTCAGCCCCATCATGTACTATGATTTAAACATGTACAGTTGTGATTTAATTAAACATTATAGTTGTGATTTAATTAAAGATCTAATGAGGGTTGGGATTCTACCAGTTCGCACCTATACTTTAACATTCTAAGCAGTTTGTAGAATCGGTTGTTAGAAGAAATTACTGGCCTAATCCTGTAAGGAAGGCAAGAAGGAAACATTCTGGTGTTGCTTACAGAAACTGCCTCTCTGTTAACCCTTATTACATTCTTGGCAGGACTAGACTTCCTGTCTCAGGAACTTCTGTGGAGTTTTTTTCCCTTCTTTTGCTGGTACTTTGCTTTTGTGGAGTGACTATTCAAAGTTAAAATGGCACTGAAAAAAGTGACATATGACCAATTTTCACACTTATGACTGTTGCAGCATCCCCACAGTCATGAGAGGCCAGGCGAGGAAATGCGTGCCTCGATGTGAGTGATATTGAGTTGGCCACGCCTAGCCAATAACATGACCACCAAGCCATGTCCACCCAGTCACATGACCACCAAGCCACGCCCACCAACTAAGCCACACCCACAGAATCGGTTGTTAAAAATTTGAATCCCACCCCTGGATCTAACTATCTTTCATTTAAACAATTTTAGCCATCTGAGTAATTTCTGGAGAGCTAAATTCTCTTTTATCAATTTATACTGGTAATGACATTTACTGCACTTATGACTCACCTGATCATTTGCCAGCATCTGGTACCTGCAATAGCAGATATTGATCAGAGGTGACTTAGACCTGGCCAATAACCTGAGCTATGTGTGACTTGGTTGGATATATATTGCCCCACCCAAGATCTGGTACAAGCAATATTGATTGGAATGCAAGGCCATCTTCTCAGAATCAGATTTGCAAGTAGTTGAATCCAGATCATTATCTTTTGGTGCCACCAGCTTAAGCATGTTTATAAACTGTAGGCAGCTAGACACATGAAATGAATGGCCGCTGCAGCTTGGTGGTACATAAAATACTTACGAGACACTCTGCATTTCATTCACTTCTTTCTACAGATGCTAGATATTGCAACCTTCAATCACAGACTGTAGATGTATTTAAACTTTTAAAGAAAATTGCAGATGAGATACATTCTCACCTATAATTTTCAGGTTAAAAAAATAAACAATGATTAACTCTGAGAAGCCAATATTTTCTATTATTGCTCTAAATAAAGTATTAGATGTAGCATCTAATTGTGTAGAATCTAGGCATTTCACTCTCTGTTGGTGTACTTTATTTGATGTATGTTGTTTTCCTATTTTCCCATATCATCATCGTGCACACTTCTAAGCCATCTTATATCACTGAATGGTATAATGCAAACCATTGGATAGTCTTTCAGATTCTAATATACTATCTTTACCTACTGGAAGGAGCTTCAATGTGTATAATGGTTGAACAGAACTAGCTGAATCTTATTCACGTATACTAAAATATGTAACAGATGAATGCATTACAATTGACAATGTAGATGGAATGCAGAGTCTCTCATAAGTATTTTATGTACCATCAAGCTGAATGTACAATCGTCTACAATTGATATTAAAAGTGAAAGGAAAATGATTTATGCTGTAAGCAGCACTAGTAAGTAAATGCAACATGAGCAACTATTTGTAGATTATTCAGGTAACTTTTGCTGCTTCTTTTTACTAGCTCGGTCTATAAACTACAAGTTGGGGAAGACAAATTCTAAATCTAGCAGCCAATTTCTCAGAAGGTTTTGACTAAAGATAATGAGTAGAGACTTCTTTCAAAGGTCTCGACCCTTGTGAGTTCTACTCCTGCCTTAGCAATGGAAGTCAGCTGGGTGACTTTGGGCCAATCACTCTATCTCTCAGTCCAACCCATGTCACAGGGTTGTTGTTGTTGGGAAAATAGGAAGAGGAAGAAGTATTAAATATGTTTGCTGCCTTGAGTTATTTATAAACAATAATAAAGGTGGGATAAAAATCAAATAAAAAATCAAATCAGATTTAGATGTTTTGGAACTGCTTATGCTGCTTTATAAATAAGCACCCTTTCGTCATAGTAACTTGTTTTGTGAAAGGCCTAATTCAGGCACTTAAGACTTCAAACTGGAGTCCAAATTGTCCTAGTCAAGGAAGAAGATGACAAGATGTTCACCAAATGTGCACAACCTAATAAGTATTTATAATTTTTATTACTGACTGGGTGAGATCGAAGTTACTTTTTATAGAAAGGCAGAAAAGAAATCAAACTATTGGAAAGTCAGCCCAACGATACATGGTGGTATTAAGACTTCCAATTATTTTGAAATGGCATACTCTCTTTCATT